CAGAGAAAAACGCCGAGTACTATTTCGACGGGTTACAGAGATGGGAGCATCGCTGGGAGAAGTGTGTAGATTTACAAGGAGACTATGTTGAAAAATAAAAAACAATTTTCAGAAAAAATGACTTGTATCTTTGTTAGGTCGGAAACTTTTCAGACCACCCTCGTATATATCACGTGTCACTCACGGCGTCAATCTCGGCGGCGACCGTGTTTGCACGATCATTTCTTCTTAACAATCGGCCCAATTCAATCGAATCCAATGCCGCTTAATGGCACGCAATTGTACCGTCGTCACTTTGTGGCCTAGGCATTGTTTAAATCTCAATTATGTTCGCGCGCGATTATAATTCAGTGTTTAGAGTTTAGGGTGTTATCACAATTTCGCGTGATATCCCCTGCGGTTATGTACCATACGTTCTATCATTGTTGCGCAATACAGCAAACTTTCCAGATACTTCAGCAGAATATTACATCAACTATGCAACTCGAAATACGAACTTGTACCAGAAAGCCCGCACAGAGAGGAGTGCTTCCACGTTAATGCTCGCATTAGTCCGTCGCAAAACTCTGTGATAACACTTTAACTCTATATATGTAATCTAATAGCAGCACAGTGATTAAAATATTCAAAGGCAATTGATAAATTAATGAGAAGCATGTTTCGATAAAATATTTTAGTGGAAACGTGTGCGATATTAAGGAAATTGCGAAATTTGATTTTGGAAACAGTCTTCGGATAATACGTTTGACTATTTTCGAATTTTCATCCATAAATCATCAGGATAAATTTCAGTCTTCAGTCTATTCGAATACACCCTTCGCAGTACGGAAATTTTCTTCCTCCATCTCCGATTTTGTTCAACTGTTATGCAAGGATACTATCACTTTGGAAAGATGCAAACGATTTCTAACCTAAGATTTGACCAACTCGAGCATCATCAATGCTATCGCACTTTAATATTGCGAGAAAGATCAGTTTGATCAATAGCAAATGTAATTACAAGCGTTACTCTCGTAAGGACATCGACTACAGCACTTCGTGCCTACGCACGCACGATACTCGTCGCATGTATCGTTCGCTTTAAGCGGCGATCACTCGCCATGGGCTATCTAATTACCTCTCTCGTCTCTTATCGGCATATCCCAGGGATGACCACCATAGTTCTCACGAAGCTCGAATTTAACACAATGCATCGTCATGCAATTGCTAACGACGAAGTTACTGGACGCTGCTCGCCGAAATTTACATATAAAATCAATCAATCTGTGTCGAGACCACAAACTATGTAAGAAACTATCGGGCAGAGTGTAAAATGAGTTTCGTTTCCTCTTCAAAGTGGTCAAAATCAAAGGGAAAAAGCGAGAGAGGCGAGAAAGAAAGAGAAAAGCAGATAGAGCTCCCTGTGGTTATGATTTCACGGAAATTCGATTGTGTGTACGCGCGTCATCGCGCATTTGCATCGTTTAATCGTTCGCTTGCTGTATCTGACAGATCGTCATGATATTGGTCGCCAAAACGTCACATGCACAAAGCGACACTCGAGGGCATTTTTTACCGTGTCCTTTTACGCGCGTGATTTTGTTCGCCAACTTAACCCCGCGCACGTTTTGAGAATGGCGAGCGTATATAAACTGGACTAGATGCGCGTCTAACCCGGAGGGAATATGCACAGGTTGCCCCTACGGACACGCTGGTATGTGTATGATGCGCGTAAGGAAGTTCTGTCTGAGGTAAAATGGATTTTTCTTTAAAAAAGAAAACACGAAGAATCCGATAGTTACTTATAGTTCGTAAGACAAGCTCCTGACGCGAACAAGTTCGACTTATATGTTCAATTCTAGTAAAATCGCTGACATTTCTGTTTTATTAAAAATTTGGAAGTATACTGCGAAAAAATGTGTATCAGATAAGTTTAAAAATTTTTAGTCACTGTAAAACATAATTACTTCGAAAAACAAAATCGTTTTTCGAGCTTAAAAAGTTAGTTTCCGATTTTTTGTAATGTATCATCTGTTATTCAAAATATACGTATGAAAGAAACTTACGCAGCAGAAAAGTTGGTAATAAAAATATATCGAAATAATTACATAGTAAAGATGGTTTTTCAAGAATTATTTCTCAAAAGATTGGAAACATTTTTCTAAACTATAATACAGAATGATTTCGAAAACGCATAATAAATGGGGACATCATAAGGAATTATAAAAAAAATGTACTGCTTTCGAACTACAAAATGTGAGCGTTTGTGATCCGCATTGGATATAAAAATCAAAAGTAACTGTATCTTGCATAACCCGACAAACTTTCGTATCTCTATCTTCATATATATTCTGCATTCCAGAATTGATGGAATCTCCAACGACCGGAATTTCTTGTTATTTACAAGAACAACGAAGGTGTCAAGAAAATAAGTAGAATAATGAACCTTTCTGCTCTCAAGTATCCTCGAATATCATTAGAGAATAACAAGATCGAAATTCGATGCTAGAAAATTACAGTCTTTTAATTAGCCGATACACTCTATCCTGTTATTTGACTCTATTCGGTGGCCTAATTACAGGAGAAGATGAGACAAGTAACTTTTCCGATAAAATATTCTGCACAAAAATTTTAATTGCATTTCGATTATCATCTTTTATATATTTATATTTATATTTAATGTAAATAAGGGCAAGTCTCTCTCTTTCTCTCTCTGCCTATACTATCCAGCTTTCCGCTGCAATTATATTATCCAGGTCGGCAGAAAGCATATTTCTGAGTATCCTTCTCTGCCGCAATTAAGTGTATAAAAGTATGAAAAAAGAATACACTGTCAAGTCCTGTCGTTTCTCAGGATTGATATTTTCTATTTCAATTAATAGTGAATTGGAAGTGCATCGATATACGAATACACGAACTCGAAGAACAACTCAACTCCCGACTTCCGGAACGGACGCGCGTTCCCTCTCCTCCTTACCGATGTTTTCGTCTCTTCCGCTTTTCAGCGTTCCGCTGAAAGCCAACCGGACTTCTTGCCTTTTCGAATTTTGCCATGCCGAAGAAACAGTTTCGGAATACACAAGCGGAGTTATTCCCCGTGCCGTGACCCTGCCGGCGCTTTTGTTCGAGGGAACAAAAGATGGAAATAATGTAATTAAGAAAATGGAACTGATGCAACGACTGCGAAACGAGCGAGTAAACGCCATAATAAAGTTCACACGCGCCACTGTGCGAATGTATAACCGAACATAAATAATAAAATTAATGAAATCAACACTCCTGCACTCTTCGAATCTCGACGTTAAATAAATTATTATTGTTATTTGCACGTATTTACCACAAAGATACGTAATAAATATGCGTAACGATGTAACCGAATAAAGAGTTTTCTCATAATGTGGAATTTAACATGACGTCTGATGTCACATTTATTTATTTTTCCGTACTTAATATTTTATATGAATGTGATCGGGAAGTTCATATTTGAGGAAGGCGTGATCGATGGATTTCTGAGGAACCCCGAGAAACCTGAGAAAGGTACGATATCACTGCCTATGTCCCTTCGACTTTGTGGTCAGTTGTTTGTAGATTTTGATCTCTTTTTCATCGGGAGTTCCTCTCCCGAAAAATTAATATGTTCTCGCCGACTTTTCAACTCCTTTTCTATTCCTTTCGCTGACTTATTCTCGCTTAAAAGCGAGGAAAGGAGAAGATAAATCTCTCTTCAAAAGTAGAAGGGAAAGTTATCTTTTACCACATCCACTTGTACACCTACTATCACCGGCTATATGCAACTTTAATATAAATGGAAGTTATTCCAATTGCGCATAAAATAACGTGAAAAAAATTGTAAAGTTGCACGTGTAATAGACTAGCTTTAAAAAATTACGAAAGTTGCTACATTATTGCGTGCTGCGAAAGTTCATAACGATAATCCTCCGCCGCGTAAAGCTAAATTACATCTATTATACGTTGATCGACAATGCAACTAATTTCTTGGGGAAACTTTTTTTTATGTAAAAAGATACATTATAATTGAGGAAGTCAATCTACAAACTCGACGAAGATGGCTCTAATAATCTGTAAAATTTACACGTCACACTGAGAAAAAAGATTTTCTTATTTGTAACTATAATTACATAAAGAAATAATTGTTATAAATTATAGTCCAGGAAAGTATTTTTTTTTTATTAAATCCTACTACAATGTTAGCGATAATAATCTTATATGCATGTGATCACTATCATTTTCATGTTAGAACAATCAAAAAATATTATTTATGATCAAAAGTAATTATATATTTTTGGTCAAATCGACTATCTTTTTTTCTCAGTGCACCAACACAATCGATCTCGTCATCTGCGTGATTAAAATTTTATGACTCACGATCTATGAGATATTTCAACTAAGAATATCGCGCACATATACTTGGCATTTAATTACGGATAAAACCAGTCGTAACGCGAAATTGCTATTCGATCTGAATTTCCTAGCAGCGGCCCTCCAAATCGTCGCGACAAGAAACAACAGTCTGAAGGCATCACACCTCTGCTGTGAATTGCGCATCATCGCTGGTGCGTTTCGGCTTTATCGGATTTTCTCCCGGATTATCTCGTTTCTTTGTCTTCGTTACCTCGATGGGCGTTAATTAACCGCGCACAGCCCGTTAATCGAATAACCAACAGAGGAAATGCGATTTATCGATAACGGTATCTCCTGTCGGCGAACGCGTCGGAATTAATAAGCCGCTGACAACGATGACGGTTAACGATCCGCGAGAATGATTCGTAATGACACGTGAATGACGGCGAGGCGAGCCATCGAGAAAAACCGACGCGGCCACGAGAGCCAACGTGGGTCGCAGGGCGGCTTTTATTTCGCCTTGTTGCATCGCGCTCGTCCAACCTACTTAGCGTCAATTAATGGACTTAACGGTGATAAAGCAGCGAGCAGTCGATATATCGACGCGAGCGCGCTTTGATAAAACACAAGAGCGCGCTGGTAATTATAAATTCTCGCCAGCCCCGCGTCGAAGATGTGCGAAAAGAGTTATAGCGGGACAATAGGAGGCGGAACGAGAATATGCGTCCTAGTTCGCGGGAGAAATTACAGTGGACAATTATTATTCGTGCTATCGGCGACGGTTCAATAGCGGCATCGACGTGGCTGAATATCGCGCGTACAAAAAAAGAGAGTGAGTGAGAGAGAGAGAGAGAGAGAGAGAGAGAGAGAGAGAGAGAGA